CAGCAAGCTTCTCAGACTTGTAGCGAAGAGAGCGGGCGATGTCCTCAAGGGTTTCAATCTTCGAAGCCACACGGCCCATGTCCTCGGCAGACACAGGCGAATGGCAAATAACTTCTCGCATCATCTCCTCTAGCCGTTTCACGTGGGAGGCCTGCTCGTCATCAAGAGAACGCCGGCCACGTATGCAAGGAGGAGCCACTCGACACCTGCCAAGATGTAACCACGACAAAGAAGCCACCAGCAAATTTGAGGCGGTCTTAAGGGCATGCTCCTGGCGGGAATCGGGGCAGCTCGGGCTCGGTATTTTCCGCTCTCCGCAGACCTCATAGTAGGGCAAAGGCATGGGCCAGGGAGACGGTGCGGTCCTTCCCTCTTCGGGATGTTCTCGGGCTTCTTGAAAATAGCTGCTGAAGAAATGAGAAAATGAATTGTCACTTGCAAGCAAAAGTCGAGGCAGAGCTTTCCAGAGGGCGGCAGGATCAACGGTTTTTGCACCAGATCCGGGAACCCTTACCAGTTCCACTGACGTCCTCAGAGTGGCAGCCTCATTCGTGGTGCCGTGGTTCGCGGGCTCCAGAACTACTTCTCCTCCGCCGAGGCACCCTTCATGCCTCGGCCTCTCCCTTTCGGGGGCCTGCGAGGGCCCCCCGGTGCGTCCTCGGTCTCGGTCCGCTGTGGCGGAGCGCCACCATCTTCGGATCGTCGTGAGCCTCCTCCGGGGCCGGCCGCAAGCTTCCGCCTGGACTCCAGATAAAGGTCGACCTCCCGGAGCCGGGCGACAAAGATCTCGATCCACCGGGCATCGATCAGCTTCGTGAAAGGCACCTCGGCGCCGGTGGGCAAGGTGTGGCTTGCAAAGGACGGGAAAGGAGGCGGGTCCTCCAACAGGACCTCGCCCGCCACATTCCAGTTTCCTCGGTCTATCGAAAGCTGGTCCCCGGCCGCAAGCCCTAAGAGAGACCGCAGGTAAGCTTCCTCGTAGTTGCCCTCTCGGAGGCAGTCGGCGATCCCCGCGATTACCCAAAGGAACCGGATGGTCGAGGGATAGCTTTGCACCCTCGATCGACTCTCCAGCCATGCTCGGCAGGTAACAGGCACCTGCCCCGACCCAGGCAGCGAGGACCTTAGGGCGAAGTCGGCCGTCAGGTTGCGTTCGATGACCTTCGTGAGCTCCTGAGGGTGGCTGTGAACTCGATCTCGCAGAACTCGCAGGGCCGCGGCGCTTTTCCGCGAAGGCGTAGTCGAGGACGAAGGCTCGCCCGAGCCAGAGCCGTCTAGCAATGCCTCCAGGCTTGCATCCTTCCTTTTGCCATCCGCGAGCTGAGCAGCGATCGCCGTGAGCTTTTCGACCGCCATGTGGATGGGGTCCTTCTCCTCCTCGGCAGTAGCTGCCGGCTCGTCTTCGGGGTCCTCGTCGTCCAGGTCGTCCTCGGCTTCGTTGGACCTCCGTGCGAGTCGGGCCCTGGTGGTCGC